AATGATGGCAAATAGTAAATGTGTACTATTATATAACTTTACAAATACATGTGTTCGTGAGTTTATTCAATATTTTTAATGTGAAAAAATGTGTTGTCTTTACAGTGAACGTGCGTTATCAGAAAAAGACAAAATAGCATGCTAAATTACTATAGATAATTAAGATTACAATTGTGAGTCACTATTTGTACTGGAGATTATATTTTATATAACAAAGTTTTATACAAGAAGAAATGAGTTGTGAAATACCAATGGAATTAGCATATTATTTATGTCAAAAAAATAATATTAATAGTGATATTTGTTATTGGTGTGGATATGATAATGAATTAGTAGAACCTCCAAAAAGTCTTAGATCAAAATACAAATTCTTGTTTCTATGCTGCACATTATGTCAAAATGCAGGAAAGAAAAATTTTGCACATAGTAAAATTAAAACTTATACAAAAGCTATAAAAAACATGATTGGTAAATAAATAATAAATATTTGTTAATTTTCATTCAAATTGTTAATTATAAAGTTTTTTTAAGGTCTGTCAACCAAGGAAAATTATTCAAAATTAGAATTGAGATATATTTTTTTCATAAATTTATTATAAATTATCATAAATTCGCAATATAATTGAATATCGGGTCACGTGATTTGTTAAATGTTTGACTGTTATTCAGTTTTGTTATGTTAAATAAGTTTATAGATTTCAGATGCTATGGGAGTCTGTAATATGTCATGATATGTGATGTGAGCTTATTATAATTTTTTTTTATTAACGAATTGTTTTTAAACTGTTTCAAAATATTTCGTTTAATCTTTTATATTTGTCTGAGATATTTTTATTAACCTTGATGGAATTTATATCAAATGAATGAATATCTAATTGGTTCTATGAGGGGTTCTACTCATAGCTACATATGTTTGACCTGAAGCAAACATATTTTTATCAATATTCAAAGTTACGTGTGGTAATGTGTTTTGTATACTATTAGGGCGAATGCATTCTGTAATGGGTATTGGTACCTTAAGGCGTGTATACAGTTTATCTCAAAATTGGCGGTCATTTTCTAGACATTCATTTTAATGATGTTACTATTTGTTGGAAATGTTACTTCGACATTTTCAGCATATACAGTTTTTGTTATAATTCCTATAGTTCTATTACAAATCTTGTTATCAATTAGTTTGTTGTTCAAGTACATTACTCTCACGTCTTCTTGGATAGTTACGGATTCAGGAAGGTTTGTGTAATGTTTGAATGAGTTTTGAATGTCTTTTAAGGTTGAGTTTAAGGTATCGATTGCTTTTGAGAGGATCGGATCAGAACATTGATCATTGAATGGCAAGTTTTGACAGATAAATCTATTTATTTGTTCAGATATTTCACGGAGACCAACTATGTGAGTAGAATTTAGTATATTTTTGATATTTCTAGAGCTTTTTATTTTTTTATTAATAATTTTTACTGATTTTTTAGAGAGGGTCCTAAATCTCAACTCTTGGAGGAGTTGGTAGTATTCTAAGTCATCTTTTTGTCAGTGTGATCTCGTTAAATATAGGGGAAAATGGTTTTCAGGCTTGTGAATAGAAGATTTGTTCTCCATTTACAGGTGGCAATTATGCAAGATCACTGATTACAAGTATGGGTATGCCGCCAAAAACTTTGTGGTTTTTATGTAGCGAGCTGAACATGTTGCTTAAAAAAGTGGAGTTCATCAGAAACTATTGATATCTCATCTATTATTATTGCTTTGATGCGTGATAGTGCGATTCTGGAGGATTGATTATCAATAGATAAGGTTTGATAGTATCCGCCTATTTGCCTTATTTTTAATGTTAAATGAATCGTACAGGTTTTTTATTTCAAATCTCGTCATGAACCTTTATTACATAATCGCAATTTTACAAAAAAAAAATATTACTAATAATCAAAACAAAATAAGTCACAAATTGTCAAATTTATTATTACTAATCATCTAAATCGATCCAATCCATACATCCAGACTAAAATATTTGTTTTTTAAGTTAATCGGTCCTGCCCAATTCGCCAGTTTATCTACAATTATTGAGTTTTACATTATGATCTAATTTAAAATGGGTTCAGCCTAACATATTTGATTTCAAATCAATCGGTTCATTCATTAATATTAACCAAACATTTATTTCATTATTTATTCAATTCAAATAAAAAATTTTTTTCTACTTTCTATATAAAGAACCTTTTTACGAAGAAAAAAAAAATTGTGAGGGCATTTAGCAATAGCATAGCATAGCATAGCAAAGCATAGCAACAACAAACAAAATAGCAAACGTGATCAGCATAGCAAGGCTGAACAAATAGCATAAGCTAAATAGTATAGCATAGCAAAGCATAGCGAAACAAAACAACATATAAAACGGAATATTTCTCGTACGACACTAAAAAAGCCAAAAAAGTCTAAAGAGCCTAAAAAGGTTTAAAAAGGTTTAAAAAGGTTAATAAGAAGGTTAATAAGAATAAAATAATAAACTAAGCAAAAATAAGCAAAAATTTAACGAACGAAATTATAAATTTAGCAAAATTTGGTAAGAAAGTAGCACAGCAAATATTTAATCTTTTTTTTTCGTTAATAACAAAGTATTGGATTGGTGCGTCCTTTAGGTTTTCAAATTCAGAATCTTAAGGTCGAGACATATTTTGTAATATTATCGTCATAATATGTAGGAAGTATAACACGAGTTCTCAAATTAGGTGATCTGTGATAAGGAATTTTACTGTAGCTAATAAATTACATATTTGATGTCCTAAGAGTAAAAACATTAATTCCATTGAGCCAAGTCTTTGAGCAATAACATGTTTTCTTAAGATATCACCTTCTTGTATATTAAATATATGTGAAGGTTTTCTTTTAACAATATATTTTACCATATATTGAGTTATATACTGAATATTCATATGAGCATTCTATAATAAGAGAATAGCGGGATGATATGGGACTACCCAAGAATCTGCATCAGTCAAACATTTGTAAATATAACGGAAGGCATCTTCTTGATAGTGAGTTGTTTGATTGTAAGGACGTAAAAACCCTTTTTGCATATTTGGCCTTGTAGAGCAGGATCATGACATCTATGATTACAAGTATGTATTTGATTATCTATTACAAAAGCATATAATTCAGGCTCGTAAATATTGTTGAACGGATAATATCATTTGTTAACAGCTATAAGTATGTGCTACTGTAATACGAAAAATGTATTCCAGAATGTTCGAAATCGTCAAACGGTTAATTAAACCAGTATATAAATAGGTGGTGCCAATTTTTTTGTCTAGTCTTCACTCTAAGATCAAAAAAAAATTTTTTTTTTGATATGGTTAAAGGTTCTCGACAGAAACACAAGCATCGATTTCATAAACAAATTTCCTCAAATAATTATGCACCAACAATTCAACATAAAGATAATGAATCAACGAATCAAGTTTCTTCATTACTTGATAAATTGCGTAAAGAAGTTCGATTCAACAACGGTTCATCTTCAGTTCTGTCGCCTACTTTGCCACAACCAGCATTTAATTATTTAATGCGAGAACATGCTGAGAGAGAACAACAAGAAAGAGAAGAACGAGATGTTATGAGACAGCGAGTATCTGGTCCAGTACCACCCAAAAGCTGGTTAGTAGCCTGGAAGGGTGAAGTTGGTAAGGTTGAAACAATGGAATTGTTAATTAAGGAACGAAAAGAAAAAAGAAAAGTCTGGGACGGTGAGAAGATTTATCAGGGCTATTGTATTACAATACATATATAATAGTTTTGATTTAATATTAAGAACCTTGTTAACACCTTTTATTTTATTTAATAGAATCGACTCTTTTAATGCGTGAAATTCCAACCCTCTTGGAAAGTTGTCTAAAAATAGTGGCTATAAATGTTAAATCTTATATATCATGTCCATATTTTTCAAGTATACCAACTCATCTTAAACAACTTATTCTTTCATTTTTGAGTATTTACAATCCTCTTAATGAGGAAATACTTCCATTATTTACCATGGACACTGAATACGAAGAATTAGATCTTGCCAATAGTAGCATTAATTTCGAAAGGTTAAGAAAGTCTTTCTGGAAAATTGTCAGAAAACAAAATTGTGAAAACAATTTAGTTGAAGATTGGGAGGATCTCGTTGATCAAAATGATGAATATACGGATGTTATATCTTATAGAAGAACTTTTAGTAAACAAATTGATCTTGCAAATGAGGATGATACTTCATCGGAAAATTCAAAAAAAACTTATATTTCTAAACTTCCAAAACTACGTAGATTAAATTTAGCGTTTAACAATAATATTCCCGGAATTCCTTTATCTTTTCTTTTAGATTCAACCTTACCATTATTAACACATTTGTCAATTGCTGGATGTTTTAACCGTGAAGATGGTCCGCATTCTTTACGTATTCTTTCAGGATTAATAAATCTTTTATTTCTAGATGTATCTTATTGTGGTTGGGTAACAGATCAAATTATATTACAAGTTATAAATTGGGATAGGGATTTGAAATCATTAAGAATTTTGGCTGCTTTGAATTGCGGTAATTGGAAAGATGTCGAATTAGTGAGAAAAACATTATCCAAAAACCGAAGATTATTTGAACTTTGGACTAGATAAATAATGAATCACGCCTCACACGATGATCCATTTTTGTCATTAATATGTAAATTCTTTATTCAAAGTTTAGAACTTGATAAATAAATCTATTTAATTACTCTTTAATTATTTCAAATCGGTTTATAATTTTGATGGAGATTTTGATGCCCGGATTTCCCAAATTTACAAATACTTAATTATTATAAATCTTCTAAACCATCTTTAAGTTAGTCTGAAATTTCCATACTTTTTTTTTTTAAAAAAAAAAGTCGTTATATTGTAAAACCAATAAAAAGTCTATATTCTAATTAATAATCATAAACCTCTGCTCATTAACCGGAGTAACGAAGGTTTCTTAATACAATTTGACGTAATTAAAACAATTATAAAGCCCATAATTTGATCACTTTATCTTGTCCTCCAGACAATAAAATTGAGTCTTTAAATTTAATACATTGTGAATTCTGTGAATGTCCTTCGAAACTCGAATGTTGAAAACTTTTTCGATTATAAATCTAAGATAAAAAAAATCATTAAATTAATAAAAAATTCTATTTAAAATAATAATGATGATGATGATTTAATTAACCTTTATATCATTGCAACCGGCACAACTGATTATCTTGCTGGAATCGAATTGTAAACTTGTGATACTATTATCATAAGAAAAGGTGTCAATAACGGACCCCGTCCTTAGATCCCATATCTTGATATCAAATTAAGATATATATGATGGTAATAATAATAAATGATCATAAATCTGAATATAATAATAATATATATCAAACAGTAATTTATTAAATACCCTTATGCTTTTGTCAATGCTTCCGCTTACAACATGATGATCATCAAACTGAAGACTTGTTATAGGACCTGTTCATAATCTTGTATATTTAATAAGTTGTTCTTTAGATAATTATTCTTAAAATAGATAATCATATTTCTAACCTGTGTGCCCCAATAGTGTTCTGTGTGCTTGACCTGTCCTTACTATAATTATGTCAAAAATCAAATAGTTAAGGATAATTTAAAGATGAAATATTAATAGATTTTTTTTTTTAAAAAAAATAATTTTGCAAAGGATACAATCCCACATTCGTATTGCACCATCTTCGGTTCCACTTGCTAAACCAACATGACGAAACTGCAAAGCTCCAATAAAATCGCCGCCACCAAATATAAAATTATCAAATAAAAGTCCAGCTTGCCTACGCTCAGCATTAGAGCAAGACATGGCCCACAAAATGTCCATAGTTAAAACACATTGTCCTGTTTCCATATCCCAATGTTTCATAGTTTTATCTGAAGATCCGGATACCTTTCATAAACATCAAAAGATAAATAAGTATATAACATATCTAGTAATCAATTATTCCAAGAGATACATAGAACTCACAAGACTATTATTTTCAAAATGCAGACAAGTAATTGATCCATTGTGTCCTTCTAACGAGGTAATCCAACAATTATCACCAACATTTGTCAATCCATTTGTCTCAGGTATTAAAGCTGAAGCGAAACTTAATTCTGATAAATTTGTGACTGATTCTGGATGAGAAACCAACTTGGATAAATCCCATTGGCGAATTGTTTTATCGCGTGAGCCAGTCACTAAATGGGATCCATCTATTTGCAAACATTTAACTAAATCTATATATATAAAAAAAGGAAAGGTAAAATAAATAATTTTGATTTGAATTTTTTCTTTAAATTCATATATATAAACTATACTAATTTTGATAAGCTTAAACTACAAATTTTTAATTTAGGCAGTAACGCTAATTTAATTACTATTGTTTATTACCTTTGTGTCCATCTAAAGCTCCAAAGCAACGATAATTATTCAAATCCCAGGCTCTCAATGTATTATCTAAAGAAGATGTGACAAGTGTTCCATAGGGTTTATCAAAGTCAAGACATGTGATCATATCATCGTGACCTTCTAAAACCTATACAAATTGTAAGAACTTAAGACAATACTGAATTACATATTTAAAAATTAAATAATAAATACCTTAATACATGTTCCAGGCTCATGGCTACGTCTTTCAACGCCTTTCCCTATTTATTTGGTTGATAAAGCATTAAGCACTAAAATTTAATATTTTCAAAATACCTAATAAGAATATAAACCTTTTGTACGTGTTCGTCTTTCATTATAACTATTTTCAGTATTAAAATTGGCGATCTTGTCGTTAAGATCTTCCACTAAATTAAAATTGTGTTAATATATAATCAAAGAAATATATATATATATATAAAAAACATTTACATTGGCTAGATAATTCGACCTGACGTTTGTTGTATTTAGCCAAATTGTTTTCTAAATTTAACTTTTTAGTAGTCAATTCTGCGATTTCACTTTCAGTTTTTTTAATATCTGCTTTTGTTCGCGACTAAATTCAAGATAAATTATTATAATTAAACTTCTCGAATTGTAATATATCTTGATTATCATCACTTGTGTTATATTATTACCTCTTGCATTTGTATTTTGTTATTTTCTCTTACGACTCTATCACGATCCGCAATAAGTTGATTAAGAGGTTTATGATCACTATCTACCGACGCTATTATTTAATAGTAAATATAAAAACTTTATTAAAAGATCAGATTTTAATAAGAATATGTAATAAAATAATAATGTCAATAGGTTTTCCTTTTATTAAAAGTAATTTAGTCACCTGTGTCTGACATTGCATCAAAAGTGTCAGTTAAAAGTCCTCTTACTTTTCGTTTATGAGTCTTTGATTTTCTTTTAGACTTCTTCTGTGTTTCAACTTCTTGAAAAGTTGCCTTGTAACCCTGAAATAATGATAATGGAGCTTTAGATTCCGGTATTTCCGAGTCTAGTAAAATATCGTCAGGCCTTTGAGAAGTTGTGCTTGTTGAAATGTCTTCAGCAGAAACAATTTTTTTCGTGTTTTCTTTTGTATGACGAGAGCTTCCATTACTTATAAACTGTTGTATGCGACGCTGATCCATTAATTGAGGTGCAAGTTCGGATAAAATATAGGCAGTGTCTCCTTTTACAGCACGAGTCGTTAAAGGAGAGAAAAGCATTGATGCAGTAGTTGACACAGTAGTTGACATTGTGCTAGTTACTGTACTCGCAATATTTTCAAGATGCAATGATGTTGGTAAAAAATCATTTAAGCTTGAATCACTTAAACTAGAGAACCGTCTTGAATCGCCATTCACATTTGGCGATAGAGCACCTGGAGCATTACTGGCCGTGCTCATTTTTATGTTCCAATGTTGATTCTCATCCGACGATTTTTCGAACAGAAATTTCCAATATTTCAAAGTAACACCTTTTGACCCAGAATGCATTCACATCTAATCTATTTTTATAAATACGTAATCTGATATTTTTGGAAAAGCTAAAACTATTGTCTAACGTTGACCAGAATTAAAAGAAATCGGCTATTTGATTAGTCAGAAAGTTCATTCAACCTTCTATGACATGATTTGTAATTTGATTTTTTAAAAAAATATAAATACAGGGCCAAAAAAAAAAATTGTTTAAAAAAAAAAGAAAATTTATTTTTATTGGTCAATATTATCACTAAAAAAAAAAAAAAAAAAATAAAGCCTAAGAAAATGGGTCGTCGTCCAGCTCGTTGTTACAGATACTGTAAAAATAAACCTTATCCCAAGAGTCGTTTCTGCCGTGGTGTACCAGGTAAGAATAAAACTACAATTATCATATTTTTTATTTATATATATAATAATTGAATAAAAATTTTTTTTATTCCTTTAAAAAAAAAAAAATAATAATAATAATAAATTAGATCCAAAAATTAGAATTTTTGATTTGGGACGAAAGAAGGCAAATGTAGACGAATTTCCTCTCTGTATTCATTTGCTTTCTGATGAATATCAACAGCTTTCTAGTGAAGCATTGGAAGCTGGACGTATTTGTGCCAACAAGTATATTACTAAATTAGCCGGTAAAGACTCTTTCCATTTAAGAGTTCGCGTTCATCCTTTCCATGTTATTCGCATCAATAAAATGTTGTCATGTGCTGGTGCTGATAGGTAAATTTTCCTTTTTTCACATCCTTATATATTTATTTGCTAGCATCAGTATCAAATTAATTTAATCAACTAAATAAATTAGATTGCAAACTGGTATGCGAGGAGCTTTTGGTAAACCCACGGGAACCGTTGCTCGTATTGATATCGGTCAGATCATTTTCTCTGTTCGCACTAAAGATAATAACAAGCCAACTGTTGTTGAGGCTCTTAGACGTGCTAAGGTAACTTTATTAATTTACATTAAATCAATAATTTAAAAATTCAATCGATATTAATTTATGTTGTATTTAAACACAGTACAAGTTCCCTGGACGTCAAAAGATTGTTATGTCCAAAAAATGGGGATTTACAAAATTATCTCGAGAAGAATATGCTGAAAAGAGACAGAATGGTCTCTTGCAGCCAGATGGTGCTTATGTGAAGTATTTATCACATCATGGCCCTCTAAAAAAACATCTCGCTCAAATTGCTGCTACTTCTTCTTAAAAGTTATTACATAGATTATTATAACTTACTCTTATTTTGTTACGTAAATCAATAATGTATGGATTAATATCATATTTTATAATAAAAGAAATTAAGAAACCTGTCTTAAAAATTTTATTAAATTACTTGAAGTTCTATAGAGAATGTTATCGAATGTATATGTATTCTAATCTATTATATGTGATTCAATCACAGAAACTTTTATTTTGTATATAACAACTCCCATGAAATTCCCAACGTTTGAATATCATCTATAATTACGCAATCCACTACAAACACCGGATCTCCTTCTTTAAACGGAGCTGACAAGCAATCTTGAGGCCTTCCATTTGGGTGTATAGTAAACGAATCCTAAAGTCGGAATTATAAAAAAGATATTTAGTCACATGAATAATGCAATTGGATAATGATTTAATCAATAGATTTGCCTCATAATTTGAATCATCATAACACCACTCTGCGTCTTCAGCATTGATCGATGAATTCATGACAACGTTATTTTCTTTTTTATTCCATGACAAGCTAAAATGCATTAATAAGAACATGAGTTTGAATGTCCAAACGTAAAGGCAACGAGATTAAATACATAATCAACCATACACAGTTCCTCCAGCTCCATATATTTTAAATGGCTTTGTGCATCCTGGATAACTTTGATGAAGCAGTTCTATATAGAACTTAATTTGACTAGGTGCCTTATTACAATTATTCAAATACAATGGGTTTGTTGCGGAATCTAAACACCTCCAAAGATATTCTGTTAAAGTTTAAACGAGTTTAATTTGCGGTTACAAAAGAATGATATATAAGCGAAATCGTCAACATACTATTTTGAATAGTGTTAACAACAAGACCAGGTATACTTGGACCGCCATGACTATGACCATGACGACGAGAAAGACAACCTTGGAAGTAAGGTATATTCAAAAGTATGATTATTATAAAAGTAAAATAGATTTTGAAAAACATTCTAATAATAATAAATAATATTAATGTTTGTGTACAGATTACTTTTTTTTTAAAGTGGTTTTTATTTAATCCATCCATAAAAGGCAAAGATTTGGTAATTAAAAAAGAAGGGTACTTTGCATTTGGTCATGCATGTACAAAGGAGGGAAATAGGAGTCTTCACCGTTACACTACACAATATGAACCTATAAACATGATAACGGGGAAATCAACACTTGAGTCGTCAAATATTAGTTTTGAAGAGAACGTAGAATATAAGAGATCCAAGGCTTAAGTTGAAACACTTCCCTTGTTTTTCCTTCTTAAATACCGCCATTCCTTACGTCCCAAATGTACACTGTAAGAACTCGCTGAAAAATAAAAATGTGGCCTCCTCTTAAAACCTTACCCGAGGTCAAATCTTTCATCGGAGTTATTTTCGCCGTAACAGGCAATGTAAGATTTATGATACTTTATTATTATTATTATATTTATATTTATTATTTGTAATTATTGTCTCAATTTTCCTTGTCAATTTAGATTTTGATTTCTGTTGCGTTAAACCTTCAAAAAAACGCCCATAATGAGCTGCAAAGGCTTCAACTAGCATTCATAAATAATTCTAATACACATTCACAAGCTGCATCTTTTGGTTCCGATTTATCTTCACGTAGTTTACATACTCAAAATGACGATAGTTATGAAGTGTTATTAGATCCTGAGCAGTATAGTGAAACAAACTATCTTCGTTCTAAAGCATGGTGGACCGGGATAATTTTAATGATCATTGGTAAGTAGAATTTTATTTCATACGCGATTTATTCGTATTATGTGTACTCATTTAATTGTAAAATGTTTTAACCTTATTTTTCTATTAAGGTGAATTGGGAAATTTTATGGCTTATGCATTCGCGCCAGCTTCGGTAGTAGCCCCTTTAGGAACAGTTGCTTTGATCTCTAATGTTATTTTGGCTCCGATCATGTTGAAAGAAAGATTTCGTAAACAGGATTTAATAGGAATTCTTATTGCGATAATTGGAGCAGTTGTGGTGGTGGTTAATTCGAAATCTGATGAAGCAAAAGTATTTATATATTTTATATATATGTGTAGACATATATTTTCCGTAATTCAACCAAGTTTATTTATCTAATACTTTCTTGTAAACAGCTTGATCCAGAAGCCATATGGAATGCTATTAAACAAACACCATTTATAATTTATTTCATCATCACTGCAACACTGGCGAGCTTTCTAATGTATTTGTCCGATCGGATAGGTCACAAGACGTGTTTTGTCGATTTATCTTTAGTTGCAATTTTCGGTAATTTATATAATTAAAGGCCAACACAATATTTTCAAAAAAGAAAATTCTAATATAATCGTATGTATATTTTCAATCATTTGTAGGTGGATATACTGTTTTGGCGACAAAATCAATTTCATCAATGTTGACAATGACATACGTTGCAATGTTTACATATTCCATAACTTACTTCTTATTGATAATTTTAATGAGTACAGCTGTGCTTCAGATTAAATTTCTTAACAAAGCTTTAAGGCAATTTGATTCAACGGTATATAAATCTTGAAATTTCAAAATAAAATAATTTTTAATTTCGATTTAATTTTTATTAAATTAAACTTTTTCATGTTTTAGGAGGTCATTCCAACTCAATTTGTCCTTTTCACCATATCTGCAATCATAGGAAGTGCAGTATTATATAAAGATTTTGCAGATATGAATTTTTGGAAATTCGCTGGTTTTTTAATTGGATGTATATCAACGTTTGTAGGTGTTTATTTTATTACATCTAATCGAAACAACTCTGAAGGTTATTCCCATCAAAGTCCTAATAATTTATCGAGTGGAACTGTCAGAAGTAACAGCATTATGATAGATCCGTTACGTGCTGTACTTCCCGTCTTACCTGACGAACTTGGCGCATCTAATGGTTCTGTCGAATTTAATAGACAATATTTACCATTTAATCATCAAAGGTCAGTTGCTACGAGCATTCCTCGTAGACATACACTGGCTGAACCGGTAGTTTTTCCCTCGACACCACTTTTAAATGGCTCCGCTTCGAGGCAAGATGGATTATTGAGACAATTGGTTCATGGAGTTTCTACAACATCCTTGACTGCCGGAGTAAGTCAAGCATTAAATTCAGTGGGTGCTCGTCATTCGCATGCGTTAGGACTAGGTAGAATCAGATAGAGTGTTATATATAATATTCGGTTATTTACTTTAATATTTCTTCTTTAATAAATTAGTAAAAAATTTTTTTTTATTTTATTTTATTTCTAACATTATTTCAGACCAAGTGTTTGAAAATTATTGGTTAAAAATGATTTCAGAACAAAATCGATCAAGTTTACCTGATTATACACAGAGAGATTATGGTGTTCATCGTCGAAGTAATTCCGTCCCTCCTGGTTTAATCTCTCGTGGAGTTGATCTTTCAAATTATCAAAATAGATTAAGTAGTCCACTAGCTACTAATGTTGAAGATGACGAAGAAAGTTTTAATACACAACCAAAATCTTTTACTAATTCATCTTATTTGAGTACCTCATATAACAATTATGAATATTATGATTCTGAATATACTGATTCTGCACAAACTGACGACGACGCAAGAACGATTAGTGGATTAACCATTTCAACAAATGGAAGTAATATAGGGATTTATACGGGTGATGAAGGTAGCACTTATGAGGCTTTTCCTGGAATAGATGATTTTAATAATCATTCTGATGATATCAACGATTTACCAGATTTGCCTTTAAGGCGTGATTATGGTGGAGCTACAGAAAGTGAAAGTGAAATGTAAAATATTCTATTATCTTTTTTTTTTTCTTATTATATCTGGGAAAAAAAAAAAAAAAAACAGACACTTGTAGATTATTATTTATTATTTATTTTTACTTTGCTTCAATATATTGCTAAAAAAAAAAAAAAAAAAAAAAAAAATGAATCATTCATATAATAATATTATTTACTTCTTTCATAAACAAGTATTATTCATTTTTGTTGCATATACTTTTTTTTAAATTTTCATTTTTTGTAATTTAATTTAAACCGTCTTAAAATATTAATGAACTTTAAACAAAATTACATTATTATATTTAACCTTTTTAAATTACATAACCCATCAATAAATATTATCACAAATAAATATTATCACAAATGCCGAAGAAAGTCATCTTTTAAATTGTGAACATAATTGAGGAGTTGTTCACAGGCATCATTAAACATATCCTCTATAGCAGTGATGGGTAATTGGAAAAATTGGATAAATTTGAACGGTTTCATATGTCCAAAATCACGTCCAAAATATTAAAAATTAAAAATTTTGTCCAAAACCCATCACTGCTCTATAGTCTTGCCTTTATTGAATCGTTCTGCATCGTCACATTTTAATTGACGCACATCACTTATTGTACTTATGTTAGCCCTTTGTTCCATCACTTCCCAGTTATAATTGCTATCTCCTCTATCAACAAATAGGCATAAAGAGTAATTCCTTTCATATCAACAAATAATTTGGATATTTTAAAGCAAGGCATGAACAACACTTTCGTGACCAAACTTTTTGTCTTCATGAGATTCCCTCTATTTATCTATTCCTTCAATTTTGACTCAATACAACCCATCGACGTTATGATCATTGAGAAGACTGTTGTTGCCAGATTCATATTGCATTTTCCACTCTTTGACAGTTGAAAGACATGGTAATGAAGAGAGAAATAGACGCTTTGCAGTAAAAAGAAGGTACGAAATTCTAAAAAAAAAAAAATTTTAATTTTAATCTGAACTTAGCATATAAAGTAATTTTTTGTAGTTTCATACCTTTCTACTGCAAAACGCCCAAACTTGCTATTTCATCATCGTGAATGTCTAGTATTAAAACTTCTATGTCTTAAACCCATCTCATGATTCAATTCAAGAACACCTGGAGTGGTTATCATTTCTCATAACAAGGAAGGATTCATATAGGAGTTACCCTACTTTTGCAAATATAAAAAAAAATTTATACCTTTTTTTTCAATGAGATAAAATCTAGTGATAAATTTTCCGCTTCTTTTAAAAACTGATCAAACCAAAAATCATCAAGGACCCGTCAGTTATCTGAAAACGGTGATAAAGCAATGACAAAGTCTAAAACAGGTCCCTTTATTTGTTGTTTTCCTTTGTCGTTAGACGTATTATAGCAGGATTGTTATAAGACAAGAAAAGTAGCAACTGAAATTGTTTATATATTTGATATAACTTGATATAGTAAAGAAAGTTTGGTGACACCGACGCGAAAAAAACTACATACGCGGTATTTATATACAGTAATGATTCACGTGATTTTGCCTTAACTTCATTTTTTGAAAATCCTCATTGCCCCGCACAGCATTATTCGATGATTCTTGATTAGAAGTCTCTGTTGTTTGCTCATCCTTTGGATTCCTTTATCATCATCATTACGAGCCAAAGATGGAGCAGGAGATGGATCACGACTTCTTTTTTGACCTAATACATTCAATTCTTCAATAGAAGATGCGGAAATGCTTCTCCACTATGTCTTCAGTTTGCAAATATTCATATTATGGATTCGGTCAAATTCATCGAAATATTTAACACCAGCTTGAGACATTGTTCTTTGATGTTCAATACTTGATGTTTACTCTTGGGTCATGCGAGGGTGCACGTGTATAAAGGCACGTATCACACATCGTTCCCAAGGAACCAATTCCGAAGAATTTCCCAAATTGTGACCGCAAGTATTCAATTCTTAACATCCTCCACATCTGATGCCCAAAGTAACTCCTTCATGTTCTCTACTCTTGACTTCGCTGATAGCTCGTTTATTGGTATTATGATCGGTTGCAAATTGTCTAAGACAATCTTCTTTCTTGTATGGCCGAAAGGAGTAATTATTCCCTGAGTTCTACATAAAATATTGTTTTTTTGAATTCGTTCTAAGCATTTTTTTATATAGTCTCTCTTGATGCCTTACCTAAGGGCTCCTCCACCTTTAATTGCTCTTTGGTCGGTATGACTAATTTAGTTTTATTATAATATGCGGGTCATATGATAAATTGTTATAATTTTTATTAGTTTAAGCGCAAACTAAAATTATGTAAAATAGTTATATAAAAAGATATCTAGGTAATATCGCCAAACCCTTTCCTCTCAAAAGTCTGTATCTAATCCAACAAAAGCGAATAATAATCTTACATTCTGCTTACAATATTTTGCACTGGTATGAGGCAAGACAATGAGCATGTCCGATCATTATGTTGTAAATGAAAATAATTCTAAAATAATTAAATAATAAAAGTGAAAACCAGAATAATAATGAAAAGAGAATCAACCATCCTATTCATATGATATTCATCTCATATAATTTGCCATTATTTCATCAATCTTTGTCATTTTAAAAAAGTCAGTTATTAAAAAATAATTATAAAAAGAGAAAATGTCATTTAATAAAATACAATTGAGGATTTAAGTCATATAATCTGATATGACAATAAAAAATTGTTTTTGTTTATTATGTTTAAATCCCTCTTTTATCACACTCACCACCCGCTATAATATATAAAGTAAGTTTATCACTTATGAAACATCATCTTCCCTCTCAAGAAGGAGCATAAAACCAACTATGAAAAAGGACAATCGACCCTATCGAAACGTAGAAAGGTTATCTATTATAAAAAAAAAAATAAATAAATGTAAAAGTTAGCAGGGAGTGACACACTCGCATTCCATGTCTAGGGAAGCAAATTCCTTTAAGCGACTATTCCTTGAGCCTCGCTATGCTAACAATCTTGTAGACTGTATCATTAAAACTATGGTAAAACAGGGAGCGCAGTTTACCTTGTTAAAATTCTTTATCCGCAAGAGTCAGCCTATAGACATATCTCTTTCACAAGAGCGAATGTAAAGTAAGGAATAGACAAATGGAACCTGTACTTATTTATATTGAAAATTGAAAAAATGTGGAATTGTGGGATTCATGATCTTCATTATCGAATACTAATGATGGAATATATATGGTTGATCACATATTTCATATCATATACAACTTTTAATTTTGTCAACTTCAAAAATTTCATGTAGAAATCATCATCCGTTATACTAAAGAAATATAAAAAAAGAAGGGATAAATGACTTACAAGTCAAAGTTCAAAATCTTGAAAATTTATTAAAGAAGCCGGAAGAAAAAGGTTATTGATGAGTTTAACAAATCCAATCAACAAAATAATTATTAAAATGGTTTGATATATATAATGAACAAATAAAAAAACCTCGAAAAAGAATAACATTTACTCATTTGAAATTCTATACATCATCTTCAAAACAACTATCACAACTAAATAGAATGCTGAATGTAAGGCTTTTTTTAATCGTGATCGTGGCAGTTCTAGATCAGATATACAGAAATCATCAGATAGAAATATTATACAGGTTTAGATTTCTGCGCGCTTTACAAGTAATACACCTAAAATCGCAAAAAAAATTAATAGCATTACGACATGTTAATAGAGGATGGCGTGGAGTTGGTTGTATTATGACGATTATATGAAATATGACCCAATGAAGAATGAAAAGAGAAAGAGTTCTGGATTTCATCTTTAGTTAACGGTGGCGTGAGAATAGGCTATTACCGAATTGGCTGAACTCATAAGTGTTTTAACTACCACTTAGTGCTATTGGAATTTTTGTTCCAAAGAAGGAGGAAAAGAATATGTAAATCTTATTGACAGGGATTCTAATAACAACAGGGCATCTGATATCGAATGGTGTACACCAAATGCAACAATCAATATGCTGTACGCCTAACCAACGTGCTGTCAAGCAGGTTTTTAATGATCATTCTATTCGAAAATTTCCACCCTTAGCTGAAGCGTAACGTTTAAAGATCTTGATGGAATCGTGTATAACAACTGCAACGAATGGTAAATAAGAAACTTTTTTTAATGATAATTTTTTTTTAAGTTTAGATTTATTTCATTTAGATGTAGTTCGAGATGTAGAACTGTAAATTGCCTCTAATATCCATATATGACAGATCAGATACAGTAGTTTCAAGTCATTTTTTATATCTCTATATCCTAATAAATTAAATTTGAATTCATCATCATTGAATTTCTTACTGGAAAAATAAATTTAGATTTGAATAAAAAATATCATAATAATTCAATTTTGGATCTTTGAGATAATAATAAGATCATGATTTATTTTATTGTATTTAAAAAAAAAAATTTTTTTTAAATTTTAATAATATAGTATTTTAAAAAAAAAAATCAGCAAATAGCATAGATCACTTTTAAATACAATTATCTTGATCACGTGATACCAACCTTTTTTAAAACTTATTTTCCTCACACGGGATTTTAATTTTGGGCCAATCAAAGAATTTGTAGCCGATTAATAAAGTTTGGTGAACATTCAAATTCTTTTTCACATAAAATGGTAGATTCAGTAGCAAGAAGATTACTTAAAGAACTCAAAGATTACCAAAACGAACCAAACCCAGATCTTACTGAACTATCGCCCATATCGGATGAAAACATCTTGATCTGGAATGCAGTCTTACGTGGAGAAACGGACACTCCTTATGAAGGTATTGCGATTTTTTTTTTTAAGCAGAAATTTTAGCTTAATTGCTCATTCATTTTATTTTAATCTTTTATCTTAACTAGGAGGGCATTGGTCCTTACGTATTGAAGTTCCAAAAACATATCCAATTCATCCACCTAAAATTAAGTTCCTGACAAAGATCTGTCATCCGAATATATCTTTTAAGGTAATCAAATTATCGCATACACGTGTCAATAATTATTATTGAAAAAATATTCATTTTTATTACTTAGACTGGGGAAATCTGCCTTGATATTTTAAAAACGGCCTGGAGTCCTGCGTGGACTTTACAGTCTGCGTGTATGGCGATCAGATTATTGTTATCAAATCCGGAACCGACAAGCCCACTGAACTGTGATGCTGGTAAGAACTTTTAAATAAGAAAGCCTTGGCTTCCTTGTAGTTATATATCTAACTAATATTTTTGACATTCATCAGCAAATTTGCTTCGATGCGGTGATTTCATGGGATACGAATCTTTGGTGAAAATGTACACGCAGCTCCACGCAATGAATCAACAAGATAACGAAGAAAGTAGTTGAGAGATAGGAACGTACGAGTTTAATTAATATCGCTCGTCAATTTATAAAAATCAAGATTACACGTAATATTAAAATTAGATTTTAAGTTTATAAATAATGATACATTACAAAGATTATAAATATATATAGAATGAAAGAATTTAAATAAAGTAATGAATTCTAATTAAATGAATTTCTAAGATATTGATTTAAGCCATTTCTAATTTTCGTTCTAACCTTTCAAATTCTCGTTGAGAAATTGATTCTTCCTCATCCAATATTTGTTCTACGCAAGTAACTTCTGGAATATAATGCATTAACATATTCTCAATTCCATTTCTCAGAGTTATAACTGAAGAATCACAAGATCTGCAAGCGCCTTTCAATTTCAATTTTACAATCCCATTATCAAATCCTCTATACTCAATATCACCACCATCATCTTGGATAGCGGGTCTAATTCTCGTATCTAATAGTTCTTTAATCATTTGAACAACTTCAGGATCATCATCTTTGATTTCTGTATCAGAAGGTGGTTGAGCTTCTGTTAATATCGGTTGATCTGAAGAAAAAAAATCCATAATGTCTGCATATATATCAGGCTTCATTAATTGCCAAGGTGTATCTTGGTCCTTGCTTATGGTAATAAAATCTGGTCCAAAGAATACCCCTCGAACTCCATCTATTTGAAAAAGTTTTTTTGCAAGAGGAGAAGTTGTCGCTGAATTTCCTGAAAGAAATTCTACTGTTCCACCATCCGGCATAACCGAGACTCCAGGTTTAAATTTTAGTGAGTCTTGATTAGGTGTAGTTTCTGTTTGAATGAACATTGTACGAACTATAATAGATTATAACAAAAAGAATTGTATTTAGCAAAGTATACACCATAAAATAATAATTAATAATTAATAATTACCTTGAGAAAACGGTAACTTGTACAAATTATTTCTATTCATATTCACGTTTTTCGTTGACTCATAAAAGCGTAAAGAACCATTATGAGAACTTAGCAAAGTGTTTGTTCTTGTAGACATTGAACGGTGCTGACTATTAACATGATTAAAAGTACTTTTAATCGTTCTTCTTAAAGTTAATAATATTATTCTAGAAAACATTTTATGAACGAAATGGTCAATGCGAAAAAATATTTTTCAACAGGTTCGATTACATAAGCATCAATCATCATTATTTATTTTTATCTAAGTATCTAAGTTAGCACAAGGTGTGATAAATTGACAAATTTTTGCCATTCATTTTTTATAGCCATATGTCGTCATTTTTCAGCTACTTCTTCTCCAAGCCAAAAACCGAAGAGGTTATGGCTACGACGAGCCTAACTAGCGACGAAGGTAATAATAAAAATATTTTTATTATTATTGTATGCTCATTTTTTTCAAACTAGTCTTTTTCTCATTCAAAGTTTGTTTTTCCTTTGAAACATAGAATCTACAACTCCTCCGGTTACAGAAGATTCTCGGTCAGAACCACAATCGCCTGTCAACCTACTTTCTCCTTCAAGTATAACACAACCGCAATCATCTCAGCTCGACTCGCAGCCTAAATCACCGAAGGAACAAGATCGTGAGTTGCCTCATTCGTTATTCCACATGTTCATAAATGGCATTAATGCTTTTGTTACCTATACTTCTACTAGAACCGTCCAATTCTTATACTGACGATGAAATTCTACTATATATCGCTGAAAATAATGAATTGAAGTATGTATGTGTGCGTGTTTATTCATTTTTTTTAAAAAAAAATAAATAAATAAATAAAATTGTAAGAAACATTTCGCGACTCAATTAAAAATTAAAATATTATTCTGGTTTCTTAAAGCGTTTCCTGGTTAGAAGTTAAGAAGATAATCAAAGAGAGACTTAAAATGGTATTTCTAATCGAATTTAAATACTTGTTAAATTTTAATAAGTTATAATATGAATCATTCTTTTCTGTAGACGTCCCATGACCCAGAAATTTCAATAGTGATAAATGGTAAGGATTCAGATAAAAATGAGAAAGACGATAAAGATATTGAAAATTATATACATACCAATATTCAATTATTGGACAATTTTGAAAGGTAACTATGAATTTTCATCTCATTTCTTTTTCATTATTCAATATTAACTTGGAAATTGTCATTTTCTACCTTGATTATAAGACCACCATTTACAATTCAAAGACTTTCTGAGCTTATAATAAAACCTTATCAACATCATAAAACTTTGATCAAGTGGCTTCGAGCTGTAGAAAAGGTAGTCCAGTAGAACATTCTGTTCATTCTGTTTAAGCAAGTTCTATATTGTAAACATCAAGATTTTAATTTATTTATTGGAAATAATTGAAACACGATATTTACAAATTAATCATTATCTAATTTCTTCTGGGATACTTCAATAGGTTTTAACGGTGCAATCATCTATGGACATGTATCCATCCATAACCAACACAATTACGCTCACTGATAAGTTAGAATTAATGGAAGTTACATCATCTCCAAAGTTGGTTCCTATTAGTTTTGCTTATAATGCAGAAGAGATAGAGAAAGAAAATGCAAATTCTCCTAAATTGGTTCCTATTAAATTTGCTTATAACGCGGGATTAGAAGTGGTTCAGGGATATTTTGAAAAAAATGAAGAGTAATTGTGTATATTTGTACAGGAACTTAACAAAACGCCTTGGTTACTGCCGAATTTTGTAATTTATTTTTAGCATATCGTATCACGCTACTATTTATTAATAAAGTTGCCCACACCGGGCTCGGGATTATTATTTTTTTTTTTAACATGTATGAGACAATTAATATATGTAATGTGATATGAGTAGGAAAAATGTTATTTATTATTTTTTCGAATTTACGCAATTGATCTTCGGAAAGAAATGAAGAGCCTGTGTGATTAAAATATTTTCATCCATTCGCAGATATTTTTTTTATTTTAGCCCCGAGATATACATTTATTCCGAAGCCTTGCATATACTGTTAAAAATGAACATATGAAAAGCCTTGGGAATTGCATTCTTGTTATCTACTATCACGATTTAACGGGCGGGTGGTCGAGGCGCGTTCTGAGTCGCCGCGCTAGATGTGTTAATTTTACCACTGTCCATGAACAATGTGAACGGGCGGGCATAGAAAGTTTATTATGTTTCACGGAAATATACCCAATTTTTTCATCGATTTGTTTTATTATTCCATCGATTTGAATAAGATTTTGATGGTAATGTTCGTCTTTTTTTTTTTTTGAGCGTTATCATCTGTATCTTTTTCTAATTCATCATTTGAAGCTTTTTCCAATTACTGTTTTTTACTTTACAATTTTGGTGTTCTCTTATGATAAAGTTTACGGTTAAAAGTTTTCTTTGGTTGAGGATATCTTTCTTCCGCAACTTGGTCTGCATGTTGTACTCTTTTTGATTTGAATTTCTTAGATGGCAACTGGATAACATAGGGTTCTGGTTCTGGTTCCGGTTAGTTCATAATTAACTGACAGTGCCTAGTCAGACTCTTATTTACAAATAACTTTTGATTTTATCAAATTTTATAAATTAGAATAAAAATTGACCACGTTTAAGAAAAGGATCTTTGATTTATTTAGTTAATGTCCAAAATTTACAGGTAATATACAAAAATCAAAACCCTCAGAATAAACTTATCTACGAATAATCTACCTAAAAATAACAAAAAAAAAAATTAAAACATAAAAATAACCGAATTGAGCTATGAATATAATAGTACTTGTTCGCTACTAGGATATACTAGTACCCAGGTTGCACGACGGGGACGTCAGTACTAATCGCAA